CCACCATATTTTAGTAATCCCTGAAAAAAACTGCATCATTTCCAAATACTGTCATAAGGTCAGAAAATTTTAACAATTGAGTGTTTTATTTCTCAGATTCATTCCCAGCTCTTCTGTCCAGCAGCTCATGGTCTATAAGCAAATGCTTAAGTTAACTGGGAATGGTGGTACTAAAAGAGCTCCCCAGTGCATATTTACTCTACACAGATGCACAGCACATCAGATTCACTGGGGTGGAGAGGGGGAGTTTTGAATAATCCTGTGCAAATTGTGCTGTCTAAATATAGACAGAAATGTACAAGGATTATCAAGTGGAGGGAGGCATAGCTACTTTGGCATTAATATGGAGCCTTTGTATTTGGAAAAGAGTTGAGAATTTTTGGCCTAGGGCACAGTGAGGGAGGAGGAGGATTTGAAGTGATTGACACAATAACAATAAATCATTATTGAACCAATTCTCTTCCAATCGTTCTTATTATCTCCAGAAGTCTCGTTAGGTGTTAATATGCCCCTAACGCCTGTCCTACACTTGCTGCACTTCCTTTGTAACTTAGAGGAGGCCTTGGGCTCAGAACATTGGCAAGCAGCAGATCACTAGAATTGTAACCTCTTCTCTTTTTGTCTTGTTGTCATTGTATTTGCTATTATGGTTCTCTTCCATTATGGCAAGTAATATTAGTTTTCTATTTGTGAGTAGTGAAATATAGTTTCCTTTTAAGTAAGTTTAAGCTTGAAAGAAGTGAGGCAATTTAATGAAAATAATTAAGTGAATGATAGAGGTAGTAAACAAACAGGGCAAAAATTATGAAAGTGCTAACAGGAAACAGCTGGTAAACAATATATGGGAGAGGCTGGACTAGAGATTCTCAGAATATGCTATTGTGAATCACTCGACAAAACAGAGGATCACTGGGTAGTTCACAACGATTTCCTCTCCATTTTTCAGTGTGGCAAATTCAGAGCAGTGTATATACAGATTGCTAGAATTCAGACACATGTTTTGACTTGCTTGGATATAACAGGGCAGAACAAGCTTCAGAAACAAATCGTAACAATAGCATGACTATCATGATTTTATACTCTTCACAATTCACGAAGGACTTTCCCTTACGTTGTAACATTTGGATAAGTCAACACTTGAAAATGTAAGTTCTAATTCCTTCTGTCTTTGAAGTGCTGTGTGACCCGAGGGCAGTAACTTAACCCCCCAGAGTCTTCATTCCCTCCACTTCGGCTCAGTGCCAAGGTTTTAAGTGAGCCAGTGGCTGGGTGACCAGACTGCAAATACGTTATTGCAGACATGCAAGTTAGAATAACCAGAAGACTCTTCAGCTTTGGGGAGGATTCTGGTATTAAATGGCATGTTATGGCAATAGCAAATGGTATGGGATAATTTGGGGCAAATTCATTCTCCCACTTTACTGCCTAATAGGATTCAGGCTTATGAGAGAGACCTAAGGGCCAAGAGATCACTTGTGCTCCAGGAACTGCTGGGAGGGAGTACTACGTTCCCAAATCTTATTATCAGAGAGGAGGGGTTGGAGAGAGTAAGGGAGCTTATGAAAGCTTCATAACTGCCACTTCTAGAGAGGTTCTGGACGTGAATTATAACAGCAGAAAAGTCATAAATCACTAATTGCGTGCCTGTGGTCCCCTCTGCCCACACCAGAGGCACACAGCAGCCATGAGTCCAGTGCTGAATGGACTGTGGCCCCAACTGTGGGCCATGGGAAGCATCTGGGGGGGCTTTCCAGCCATGTGGGCTCCACGGTGCAGCTGAAAGCGCTGTGAGACAAGGAGCAGCCCCAGACCCGCTCTGAACTGCTTCAAACACACACACACACACACACACACACACACACACACACCATGCCGCAAAGAGAAAAACAACGTATCAAGCGCTTGCTGTGTTCTAAGAACAGTCCTAGGTGTTTTTAACTATGCTACCTCAGTTATTCCTCATGCAAAACTCATTTGACAGGTCAGAAAACTAAAGCTCCTCAGACAGGTTAAGTAACTTTCCCAAGGTAGCACAGCTAATAAATGACTAAAACAGGATGAATTCCAAATCATCTGTTCTTTTCACTCTCTTGCATTATTCTATATTATGTTTCACAGTACATTTCAAAAACAAACACATGCAATATGCACATCACAGACATACATCTACAGAAGCATTTTACACATTCACAGCCTGTATCCCATGTATATATACAGCTCACATACAGACACCTCACATATACACACAAAAAATGCCCATACTAAATGTGATACTTGACATACATACACGTGAACACAGAAATTCACATTTTGCAGGTATCTATGTGACCCAATTCACTATGCATCTGCAAACACCACCATGCACACTCTAGTCTCCACATACATCCATACACATCCATCCATCTGTATACATAACACGTCTATACAGTCATACCTAGAAACCCGCCCACATCACACAAACTCACCTACATCCATAGACACACACAAAGAAACTAAAGCGCATTTGTTCCTTACCCTGTCCATCAAAATTAGCTCCCCAGGATATGAGTAAGGATCTTCAGATTATTAAGCAAGAGTAAGAGTGTCTAAAGAGTCCTAGAATACCCTCTGAATCTTCAAAGCAATGCCAGATTGCTTTCAGTATTTTCCATTACTGTGTATAATAGTCTAATTATTTTAAAATTGTTAATCCATGTATAAATATTTATGAACACTTTTTACAAGCCAGGATATTTGATTAATTAAAGTAGCACATTATTCATTCATTCATTCACTGTGCAATTACTGAGCACCAATTAAGTATGAGACACCATGGTAGACACAGTGGGGAATGAAAGAACAAACAAACAAATAATAAATAAAACCACCATGACTCCTGCTCTTAAAACACAAACACAGATAACTACATCAGCACCTGGTGAGTGAGTTTATGGGTGTTGAGGGGGTGGAGGAGCAAGGAGACAAGACGGCTCTGAGGCTTCTAATCCTAGAGAGCGGAAGTATATTGACGTCATCTGGGGAAACCGATTTAAAGGAGCAAGTCTGGGAAGGAAGCTGTAGAGTTCAGTTTAGGAGATGAATTTGAGACACTGGCAGAACATTGAGATAAATGTGTCCCACAGATGTTTTCAAATTAGGAAGGGGGTTTTAAAGAAGAGGCCAGGGTGGTGACAGATTTGAGAGTCATCCATTATTAACTGATTGCTTAAACAGTTACAACTGATGAGACCAGAAAAGAAGCCGAGAGGAAGAACAAGACAGGTTGGGTACAAATCCTTGGGGAACGTTATGCGCTGCTTGGCTAGGTGACAGAAGCTTCCACCTTACACACACACACACACACACACACACACACACATTCATATCTCTATGCATTTCCTCCAACATCCCAGTCCCACAAGTACATGTCAGTGCTGCTCATGGCTCCTAACTATCTCCTGGATATAATTTCACTACTAGGAAAGCTCAGTTGCCCAAAGCAACCCAAATTAGTGTTCTTCAACCTTTGAGACTCCAACATTGACTCTTATTGAAATCTATATACTTTAAGAGTTTAGCATGGCAATTCCTCAAGGATCTAGAACCAGAAATACCATTTGACCCAGCAATACATTACTGGGTATACATACCCCAAAGGATTATAAATCATTCTACTACAAAGATACATGCACATGTATGTTTACTGCAGCACTATTTACAATAGCAAAGACTTGGAACCAACCCAAATGTCCATCAATGATAGACTGGATAAAGAAAATGTGGCACATATACCCCATGGAATACTATGCAGACATAAAAAAGAATGAGTTCATGTCCTTTGCAGGGACATGGATGAAGCTGGAAACCATCATTCTCAGCAAACTAACACAGGAACAGAAAACCAAACACTGCATGTTCTCACTCATAAGTGGGAGTTGAACAATGAGAACACATGGACACAGGGAAGGGAACATCACACACCAGGGCCTGTAGGGTGGTGGAGGGCAAGGGAAGGGAGAGCATTAGGACAAATACCTAATGCAAGAGGGGCTTAAAACCTAGATGACAGGTTGATAGGTGCAGCAAACCACCATGGCAAATGTATACCTATGTAACAAACCTGCACATTCTGCACATGTATCCCAGAACTTAAAATTAAATAAATAAATAAAGAGTTTGGCAGAGGGAGGGTCACGTTCTTAATACATGAGTAATTCATACTGTGGTATGAATGGGGCCCTAAAGCCACTTTGTTGAATGGGTGTGGGGTGGGAGAGGGGTGACAGAAACAGTGTGATACATCCCCACAGTCTGATTTCTAATCACCTAACTCTCGACACAGTGAAGTAGGCTACTACCGATTTACTCTGGGTCCTACATCAGTCCCTTCTGCTAACTGGGCCTCAATTTCCCAAGTGAGATTTTCTGAAGTATATGTTTCTTGAGACAGTGATCCCATAAGTACAAGCACATAAGCTTGTCAAAGCTTCTGAGGAGACTTGAGGTAAAAATGCCTGATAAAATTTGTGTTCCAGAATGCATCTGACTTTGCAACTTTTTAAAAAATTGGTGACTCTGATTCTGAAAATAAACCTTGAGGAAATGGTAAATTATTTGATCTCTAACATCCTTTCTGTCTGTGTGTCTCCATGGACCTATGAGAGTGCAGTTGCCCAACACAGGGTTAGGTCTACCAAAAGACTCACCCTCCACTCTTCTCTCCCAGGAACACCCAGCTGCCAAGTGTGGTTACTCAAAATCCCAGAGATGAAGCCCTAAAAATGTCAGTGACTTCTCAGCATCAATCAGACACTTGGCTGCCTGCCAGGATACCATGCTGGCTGATATTTGGGCTGGGTAAACAATTTAACCGGGGCCTTACCTCATTAAGGACCCATATTACCCATTTCTCCAGCTAAGAACACTCTTGTGGTTCTACAGAGGTTGGACAAGGCTGGGATCTGATCACAGTGTGAGAAAGAGCCATCATTAACCTTTTGCTTTCCTCTCTTCCTCCTTAGCCTTGCTGCTTCTAAGGAGGCGGAAGCTGCTCGCTCCGCACCCAAGCCTATGTCACCCTCGGATTTCCTGGATAAGTTAATGGGGAGAACCTCCGGATATGACGCCAGGATCAGGCCCAATTTTAAAGGTAGAGAAAACATTCCTTCCAGACCCACAGGGAAATGCTTTCCCACATTAAAGCAGCAAGCTGCATGGTATTGCACGCAGATAGTAAATACACAGTGTGAATCTCATGACTCTTTCCTCTACCCAAGGCAGATATTCTTAATCAATTTAGTCTTCTCTCCCGCCAAGCCCAGACAAAGCCCCAGAGGACTCAATTTAACAGCACCTCTGGTTTCCAGGAGTCCAAAAGTGAATTAAAAAGTATCTGCTACCTCTTGTATAATAGGAAGAAGGATAAACATGGAACGTGGAGAAATGGGTTCAAGTTTGGGCTCGAGTTTATTCTCTGAGCTTAGATGATGAGTCTCTCCCTTTCTTTGGGCATCAGTTTCTTCATCTGCGCAGTGATGGGCTTGGTTACTTCGGCAGCTTTTAAACATACGCTTCCCGGAGCTTTCAGGCTTCCATCAGGTGCCCCCAAAGGAGAAGCAGAGGGCATGATAAGCAAGCCCACGCTGCTCCTCCCCAAGCAGCTCCACTTTTATTTTCAATAATGGGGTCCCAAATAAAATTCTTCAGCTGAAAGTTTCCCATGGGCTAACAAATAATTTTGAAAAATTTTAGTCTAAATCAGAGTCATAATTTCAAATGCCTACCAGGGTTGATAACTTAAATCAGTGAGGCAAACCAAGAGTAAGACAATAGGGAGTGGTAGAGACTATGAAGAAATAGAGGTACAGGCTCCTCTACAGGGGCAGCCTCTCCTTAGCCCCAGTCTCTAGCTGCCCTGCAGAAATGTAGGCCCCATGTTGCCAGAACATCAAGTATTCCAAGAAGAGCCAGATACCGAGATCTCTGTGAGACTACCTAATTCCTAAAACATGTAAATTCAAATAAAACATGTTTGTGACCCACATATGCCCTATGGGTTGCCAGTTCACAAACTCTGCTCCAGATGATCTGAAAAGGTTCTTTTACCTCTCACAATCCTATGGGAACTTAGTGTCTATAACCAAGAGACTAGTTCCCTTTGTTTACTGATGCCTCAGGAGGTTGCAGCCATCTCAAACTGCTAAGCAGAACCCTGCAGGTGCAGTCTTATGGACCTCCTTGGCAGCCTATGCACTCTGACCTTCCTCCCAGCACCCTAGGAAAAATCTTATTCCAAGGACCTGCAGCCAGCCTCTTAGACAAGCCTTGATTTCAGGTGCCCTTCCTCACTGTTCCTTTGGCTCACGTTCAAGACTAAACAAGGCATGTGACAGCTGGTAACAGCTTCCTAATATTTGCTCACTTTGCCCCCTGCTCTCAGTCCCCTTCTCAGAGTGCTTGCTCCGCACAACCCTGCAAATAGAAAATGTTCTGGGAGATGCACCCAGGTCTCTGTTTGGGCCCACTCTCCCCCGTTTACCTCAAGGCTCCTTCACTCCCCCTGCACCTTGTTCCTGAGGCCATAGCTTCCAGCATTGTTAGCATAACCCCAAGGACAGGTAAGTCAAGAACAAGGTTGCTGCCCCCAGCACACTCAGCTCAAGCCTTCACCAGGGTCACAATCTCTGATACCTAGAGGGGCAAGACAACTATAGTATATGAATGAAGCGGGGTGGAGACAAGAAAATAAAACCAGAAAATATAGGGCTTATCTAAGGGTAGCCACTTCTCAGCTCTTGTTGATGGCTGTCAGGCAGGAATGCAGACCCTGTACAGCCAGGCCTTCCAATACAAGACTTGAGTCTGAGGTTTTATCTGAAATCTTGCAAATTGACAACTAAGTCGTCTCTTTTAAAAACCTTGTTGGCCAAATCAAACACTTCCAAGAACTGGTTAAGGCCCTTGACAACCAGGTTGCATCCTCTGTCCCTCGCTGCTTTTAGGAATTCTAGTCCACCACGCCCCCTGGTGGGCTCTCTCAGAACTCCATCCTATGTAGAGGCGCCATGGTCTTGCTCTGAGAGAGGAACTCATTCAACTGTTGAATGTGGGTGCATCCAGAGTTTATGTATTATTCTTTGTGCATACCACTGTACTTGACACATAGAAAAGCCCCAGTAAACCTTCATAAAGGAATGAATAAATAAATAAATGAGCCCACAAATATGCTAGGGTTTAGAGTAGTTAAGTGAATTTTTCAAGTCATGCTGTCAAAACCAGAGACTTGAACCCAGTTACTCTAACTTAATTCTTTTTCTAATAATAGTGACTTATTTATTTATTTGTTCATTTATTTATTTACTTACTTAGAAGTGGACATTTTTAAGAAATAAAATTTTATCCTGACCACTGAATCAAGGCCCTTCCAACCTTCCCACTCTGAGAACCTTACTCAGAACACTTGGGCCCAATATCTACAGAACTAGTTCATCTTTTAGGCACCTCTCAACCCTGCACTAGCCTTAACTCCCTCGACCCCCACCTGACTGAGAATGAGGTGCAGCTTCCTGGAGCCCCACCGCAGGAGCTAAGAAGTTTTCTCTGCCCTCCTTTGTGCTGAGGCCTGAAAAATTGCCAAGAGGATTTTCTGCCCCTGAGCCCTTTGATGCCTTTCCTGCTTCCACCGACACAAATCAGATTCCCCAAAACCCCATACAAACCATAGAGCTCCTGAAAAGGCCATTGAGGATCAGGGCCCCTGTGACTCCAACATGATAGAAAGAGGTCGGTATCGTTTAAAAACTCTACGGAGGGATCCATCACGCAGCAGCTGCCTTAAGTGCTAGAAATTTTCCCTGCTCCTGACCCTCGTGAAAACACGGGTAGCCGGGAATACCAAGCACACTCTGCAGAGTACAATGGCAAAGACACTGTGAGGTGGAAGTAAAGGGCACTAAAACAGCATTCCAGTCCTCCCTCTACTTACCTGACAGACATGACCCCAAATGAGACACTTACTGTATCGCAGCCTCTGTTTCTGCATCTGTAAAATGATCCAGCAGGACTATGCCATTCCAGCTCTGTCACTCTGTGTCTTCTTTATGACTTTGTGTATTATAATGGCTCCTAGGATCAGGGGCACAGCCCAATGCAAATACATACAAAAAAAAAGCAAAATTAAACTTTAATATTTAATGAAATATATACATTATCCTGCTGCCAAAGGCAGCTGAATTGTAATTTTCTCAAGGATAATTTAATTTCAGATTTATTTCAATGAACGCACCTCCCCATAGGATCCTTTTGGCTGGCGCCCTCTCACACACATAAATCAGAAACTAATTTATAAATTGGAGTCACAGTGCCAGACACTTGCAGGGACTGGATGGGAACTCTGTGCACATCATTTCAAGGCATAGGCAGTAACTCCTTGGGGTATCTTAATGGCATGAGGCAACAATAACAAAAAAACCTGGATCTGAGTCTAAATGAAGGAGAAAAGTCCTGACCATTCAGGTTTTTTCCACCTGACCTTTGTTTAGGTGGAAGTGACAAGGAGGCAGACTTCCACTCAGCACAAGGAAAAAAATTTTCGCAGACAGAGCTATCTAACTATGGAAAGGGCTGCTCAAGAAAAAATGAGTTTCCCACTGCTGGAAGTATTCAGGCGCTCAGCCTTGAATGGGTAGCTGGTCTACAGCAGTGGTCCCCAAACCTGGCTGTACGTGAGACTCACCCAGGTAGCTCTCTGAACACTAGACTCTTGGGCTAACCTCAGAGATTTGGTTTCACCTAGTATGGGGTTGGGCCAAAGAATCTGTAGTTTAACAGGTTCCCAGATGATTCTACTGCAGATAAACCTGTCTGCACTTCAGTTTGGGGAGAAATTGATGAGGTGACCTTTAAGAAACCTTCCAGCCCTAAAATCTTACAACCCTGAAATGCAAATGGATAGCTTCCATAAAGGAATTCCACATCACTGAAGCTGCCTGCCTAGATCAAGAGCTACTGCCTAGATCAAGAGCTACTCTCTCTCCAGATTGATGAGGAAATTGAGGCCCAGGACAGAGAAAAGGCATTGCCAAGCTCAACCAACCAGTGAGTGCTGGAGTTATGTCCAAAACCCAGAGATACTGATAATCCCTTGAAGGAAAAACCTAGATTCTCATCCCAAGACTGAGTCCCCTCCTATATGCCAAGACTTCTGATCCTAGCTTAATTTGAGCAAAATGCTTAGGCTACTTTTTCAAGAGGGACAGAATGCAATGGGTACCAGAGGGCATAAGGACATATCTACTTTCTTCTTTCCACAATGAGAAAACTTTGGTTCAAGTCCTGGTTCTACCACTTGTTAGTTGAATGAGCCTAGGTGAGTTACTAAAATTCTTGGTGCTACCTTTGTCAAGTAGGAACAAGAATTCTGCCCTGCCTACCTCAGTAACTCATAGGAATCAAGAAAGTAGACCTGAAAAGAAAATCACAAATTGCAAATTACAGTCTTCATGTGAAGGGCCGTGACCATTTATCCAAGTCCTATTCACCTTCAAAGTCATCTCCAGGTCATCACCTTTCTGAGGTCTTTCCTGCCTCATTCTCCAGAACTTCTCTTGCCTGGACTCCTGCTGCTTTTACCACGCTTACCCATAGTCTCACATTTTTCTTTGGTTATTTTATGTCAGCCCTTTTTGTCAGCTTATTTGGAAACCCCTTACTGAAAATTCTGGACTGTGCCACTGTCTGTGTGATCGGGACCATGCCCCTTCCTTCCTCTAAACCTGTTTCCTGCAGAATAGCCATTAAGATAAGCACCCTTGGAGTTAGACAAATCTGAACTCAAACTCTGACTCACCCATTTACTAGTTATGTAGCCATGAACAAATAACCTCTCTGAGCCTCTGTTTTCTCTTCTGTAAAATGAAGGTAATAACCATACCTTCTCCTGGAGTTGCTGAAAGGATGAAATGAAATGATGTTAATAATACTCTCAGCACAGCAGTAACCCCCCTAATGTTTAGTAAATGGCAACTGCTATAATTAATAGTATAAAGTGAAGAGATTGGGCTTCAGTGAGACATTTCCTCTAGCAATGAGATAGCAAAGCAGTAAATAAGCCTCCATTTCTTTCCTGCGCTTTGCAGTAGGATTCAGAAGACTTGCTCGGAAAGTATTTAACAAAGTCTGTGGACTTCCCCGGAGGTTCCTTCTGAATTCCTCAGCTGGTAATTCCCATCAATGCCTTTCAGACAATCATTCTTGGTTCATAAGTTCAAGGCAAGGAGCTTGCTGTTCCTTGTAATTCCCAAGATGGCCTCCAAATGTTGTAGCCATAAATATATTTCAGCCACTAATTTGTGGCTGAAAGGCAGCCGATGGGACTTGGGGAAGGAATTTCAACCATATGGCGGATGATGAATTATCCTGTGTTAATGAAAGTACATTTCAGCTCAGCCTCTGGTGTTCTGTACCTGGTGCTCACTTGGGAACCAGGAAATCTGGCATAGAGATGTTAAATGGTAGCTGGGAATCCCAGGTGCTTGGGGGTGGGGTGGAGAGTAAGCAAGGATCTCCTCCACCAAAGGCGATCCATTCCAGAAGTCAGTGTTCTGGGAATGAGTCCTACCCTGTGGGTTCTTCCATGGCCATGGGGTTAAGCAGGAATCTCTCTTGATTGGCAGGTCCCCCAGTGAACGTGAGCTGCAACATTTTCATCAACAGCTTTGGTTCCATTGCTGAGACAACCATGGTGAGTAGTCAAAACACAAGCTGTTAGTTCCTGCTGGGGATATCTCTCCATGAAATACTTATCCTCTGCATTGGTCTCCATCAAGGAGGTGGGGAATCAGCTGGGTTTTTTTCAAGTCTCCAGTGGTATACCATGAGGCTCAGATGTTTTTACTGTCACATTAAACGTTTTGAGTGAATACATAACATCTGAAAATTGCCAAAGAGCTAGCAGGGTAAGCACCTGCCAAACGCCCAGGATTACAAGAACAAAATTACACAAGTCAAATTTTTAGAGTAAAAGAAAATGTGAAGACCTGTTTTTAAGTTTAACATTCAACTGCAGAATGGCAGAAGACTGCTGGTTATAGAAGCTGAAGTAGGTATATTGGGTGAATTGTACATTTCCTCTACTGCTGAATATGTTTAAAACTTTTCACAGTAAAAAAGTTTAAAATAAATCCATTACACTAGAAGAAATGCCTAGGAAAAAAATACCAAAATTGTGACAGTGATTATCTCTGAATTATAAACTTATGAATAATTTTTATTTTCTTCCTACAGTATTTATATATTTTTCAAATGTCTGCAAGGGGTGAATATTAAATTAGTAATTATGAATAAGTATAATGGTATTTTTAAACTTTTCTCAGACTTTTTTGCTTTTTCAACAGAAAAGTCAATTGTATTTATGTTAAGGAAGTGATCTAGCTTGTGAAAAAAAATAATCAGGGCAGCCTAAAGTTAACTCTAACCTATCAATTTCTGGACATCCACCCGCCCCTAATCTAGTTCAGGCTTCCATCATGGCTTGCTTACATGACTGCAAAGGGTTCTCGCTGGCTTCCAACTTGCCCCCTTCCAGTCTACCTTTTCCCATACTAGCCTTTCCAAAACACAAATCTAACCACTCCACTGCCCTGATTTAAATCCTTCCTATGACTCCCCCATCACCCTCAGTGTTAAACCCAAATTCTTTTGCAAAGCTGAGGAAGCTCCCTGTGAATAACCCTGCTTCATCTCCTCCCTCTCCCGCTGCATCCTCTAGTTGCACCGATTGCTTACAGCTCTCTAGCCAGGTTGTCCCTCACTCCCTGCTTTACAGGCTTCTGGTGATTGCTGCTAGGCCACTGCCCAGAGCACCCACTCCAGCCTCCTTTCCCTTGCCAATTCCTATTCTCCTTTAAGACTCAGCTTAGAATTATTTCCACAGAAAGCCTCCCCACTCTAACATGCACGTCATGTGTGTGAGTTCACGTGTGCTCTTCACCCAAGGCTGGCATGGGTCCCTTCTGTCCATTCTCATGACGCACTTTACAGTTTCCACAATAGCACTTGCCACTTACAATTACCACTGTACCAACCTGCTTATGTGTCCCTCCTGTCACTCTACTGTAAGTTATATGGGGGCTGGTCTCTTGTCTCATTTCCTGTGGGAACCTCAGCAGCTAGCACAGTGATTGAATAACAGATACTCAACAGTTTTTATAAAATAAATAAACCAAATCAATTATATTGCTTATCAATTAAAACCAGTATTTGGTTCTAACCCTTTATGGGGATTACATCCAACCTTTCAGTCCCAGACTGGCAAAAATCACTGAGTTCAAGATGAGGTGGCAAATGGTCTAGAAGCTGTCCTTTTGCAAACAGGCCTGTCTTGATATAGTCAAGAAGATCATGCCCACATTCAAAGGACAACTGGTGAAACTCCCTAAAGTAACAGGCCTCTTATCTCCAAATGGAGATGGTTCCACTTGTTAGCTAGGAACAAACATGAGTGCTTTTCACTGGATATCCAGGTCAAATAAATAGCCACTTTTTTTTCACCTTTGAATGGTATCTTACAAGCACTCTTAATGAACCCCTCTGCTTTTCCTCCCCTCCTCCAAGATCAGAAGCATGTTGACATTTGTATTAATCATAATATGTACAGTAAATGTTGACACTTCCACTCTTTTTCCTCAATGGTAAATGGTTATCAAGCCAAGTCAGGGAGTGGACCACCTGGTTCTGTAAAGGACCTGGTTATTTGAGGACAAGTGCACATATCTGCACTCATTTCCCAATAATGACCAAACACAGACCTAATTCCTTCAAACAGATTCCTAAAAAAGAAAGATATAGCCTTACTTCCTGTGGTGACTAAAAGCCCAGCTCTGGAGTCACATACACTGAGCTCACTCTGTCTGCGAGGAGCTTATTTGCTTCACGTCTTTAAGCCTCAGTTTCTTCATCTGTAAAATCCCAATGGTAACTAACATACTGATATCATTAAGTTATTATGTGTAGTGTGTAGAGAAAAATTGTTTTGTTTTGTTTTGAGACAGAGTTTCACCCTGTTGCCCAGGCTGGAGTGCAGTGGCACGATCTCGGCTCACTGCAACCTCCGCCTCCCGGGTTCAAGCAATTCTTGTGCCTCAGCCTCCCGAGTAGCTAGGATTACAGACATGCACCACCAGGCCCAGCTAATTTTTGTATTTTTAATAGAGATGGAGTTTTGCCATGTCATCCAGGCTGGTCTCGAACTCCTGGCCTCATGTGATCCACCCACCTCGGCCTCTCAAAGTGTTGGGATTGCAGATGTGAGCCACCGTTCCCAGCCTAGAAAAATGGTTATCATTGTATATGCTTTGTAAAGGCTCACGAAACATTTTTGATGATGGTGATGATGATGGAGACTCTGGACACTGCAGTCCCAACATTATCATTGATGATTTCCTGTGTAATCTTGAACAATCCTTAGACTTCTCTGAGCCTTGGTTTCTTCCTCCTCTCCTCTCCACTCCCACCCCCACAACCCTCACCCCCCATTTCCCACCCCACATCTTCTGACTGCCTTTCCAGACTTCACTTCTGCTGCATTTTGCTTTCTACAGAAACAGTGTAGCAGAGTAATTAGACACAGTCTTCAATGCCCAGACAAAATTTGAGGCTCAGCTCTGTGATCTTGGCCAAGGTATTTTAAAGTTGGCTTTCTCATCTGTTAAAAATAGGGATGCCGGTAGCATCCACCTTATGGCCTGCTGTGAGTATTAAGAGATAAAGCATGGAAAGTGCGAAGCACAGTGCCTGACACAAAGTGCACATGCAATGAGCCAGCTATTGTTACATGCCATTTATCATTTTCAGCACATTTTCACTTTCACACTCTCACGTGATTCCTTCACCAAATATGTAGTTTTACAACTACTCTGTAAAGTAGGCATGCTATGTTCCCCATTTTACAACTGAGGAAATGGAGATCTGTACAGATCCTATCACAAAGCTACTTAGTGACTGTGCAAGGATTAAGATCCAGTTCTCATAACCTATAGATAAGTGTTTGTGCCGTGCCACACTGCTGTAACTCCAAAGAGCACCAGCTAAAGAAACTGGAGGACCAGGATCTACAAAGTACACGTAAGCAACAGTCTAAGTGCATCAAAAGTGGAAACCCAACCCAATATCATGCCATGCCCCGCTCCCCTTAAGAGAAAATAGTAAGTAATGATAATGGAGATAATCAACAAAGGACCCTAGAGGAGATGGTCCTCTGTAGTAGAAATAATCTTCTGACAGGAAATGAAGGATCAGTTATGAAGTGCTGCCTTGAAGGTAGACCATAAGTGACACAGTTTTCTCCCTGTTTATTACAGTTAATCCAAAGTAGGGCAGAGGGTGCTATTTCCAAGCTTGCACATTTCATAATCTAGTAAGATCTCACTTAACATCACCAATTGGTTCTTACAACCTGCAACTTTCAACGAAATGACTATAACAAGACCAATTTTCTCATCAACCTTATAACAAAACAACATTATTTGATAAACTGCTGTATGTCATTTCACTAAAAGTCTGTTCCCAATAACCTGTCGATGATGTTAAATGAAGGCTTATGTACTATGATTTTTTTCCATTGGCTTCTTAATTATTTGTGTGTTTAACTTACTTTACAGATGATATGGGGAGAAAGTCTCAGATTAAAAAAAAAACTTAAGAAATTGTCTAGTCTGGCTCTCTATTTTCTGGAGAGAGAATCTGGTGGTTAGAATGGTAAGGTCATTTGAGCAAGGTCACACAGCATGAAACAGATGTGATAGAAACACGGGGTCTGACGCTGTCTGCAGTGGTCACTAGTTCCCCTCCCTTCAGCTTCTTTTCCCTCTGGATTCCACCAATCAAAACTTTTGGATGACTGTCCCATCCAAGCCTCTTTTCTTGTCACTCAAAGTATCTTTGGGAAACTGGTATTAGTATGAAAACAAGAAAAACAACTTGTTCTTGAAGAACTTATTATATGCTGCTACACACCAGACAGTGAACAGAGCACTTCTGTATCCACCACCTAATTTAGGCTTGATAACAACCCCCATAAAGTGGGAAAGGTTATCTCCAGTTTACAGATGAGAAAGCTGAGGATCAGAAAAGTAAAGTTATCTTCCTAATACGTAGCAAGGGTAGAACTTGAACTCAATGCATGGTCTCCTAAGCCAAATGTAAATATTTAATTCCTGAATGTTTGGGACTACTCAGGCCTTCCTTGTCTCCTTTCATCACAGAGAATTAGATAAAAGGGAACTTGAGCTTGAACAGACATAGAAACTGGAGGCCAGAGAGAGGACTGCACTTGCCCATAGACACACACACGCAGCTAATTAGTGGCACGGTCAGCCCAGGCTCCCTGACTTCCAGCCTGGGCTCTGCCTCTCCAACCACACAAAGAGCTAGTGTGTACCATGGGTCCAAGGTAATATGGACATCGTCCTGGTGTCAGAAACTTTCCAGGCTGTGTTTGTTCTCCAGAAACAGCAAGAGTGCATAGCAGCTCTATAAACAGCTGGAGTCCCCAGGCCTAACTGCCTGCCTCCCAGGATCTGGCTTTATTCACCGGAGCTAACAGACCTGAGAGCAGAGAGGCAGCCAGCAAAGCAACAGGGGTCTCTATCCAGTCCTGACAAGGAGAGGGCTGAGACTGCCTGTCCTTTATCTGACCTTCTCCAGGACTCTCTCTGAGTCTGTGCAGCAAGAGGAAGGTAAAAG